ACTCAATTAAGTAAATGGTCTTTCTGAGAATTCATATAGCTTTTACTGAGTTTAAAACAAAAACATCACAATCATCCTTGATTTCTCTCTACTCATGCTCCATATCCAGCCTCTTAATAAATCCTGTTGATTTTCATTATCTTATCTTTAACTCATACATTTTTCTAGCTCCACTAAACTCATCCTATTCCAAGCCACCATCATCTCTTGCTGCATACTTCCTAACCCAATTCTTTCTCAATACCAGACACTGATTTAAAAATATAGATCGTCTTATCATTACTTGTAAATGAACTGAAGATCACTGCACATAACCTTGCAAAAAGAATCTATCACAAACACCCTGTCCTATGCTCCATTCTTCACTTGACCAATTCCCTTAGCTAAAATGTCACCATCAGAAGCTTCCCTGAAGCCCCAGACTAGGTTCAGGTTACAGTTCCTGTGAACATGCTCCTACAGTATTCATTCATTTAACAATCACCTACCGGACACATCATTTTGTGTAAGGTCCCAGAAAAATGGGAATAAAGAGATAGATTGAAAAAAAAAATCCCTAGTCTTTTAAGAGTTTATATTCTAATATGGAGGAATGAGCACGAGTGGCAGTGTGTACATGCATACATGTGCAGAGCACAACACAGACAATAAACAACAAAACTAGTGATAAATGCTATGAAGAAATACCATTAGATTAACTGACATTTAAACAGATAACTGAATGACAGATGAGACACTTGGCAAAAAATCAGAGAAACACACCAAGTTTAGGGAATAACTGATTCAAAGTCCCAAAGTGAGAAGAGCTTGCTTTATCTGAGGAATGGAAATATGGTCAGACAGAAAGAGCTAGACTGAGGATGTGGCAGGCAAGGACCAGATGGTAATTATGGTACAGAAACTCCCTACTCCCTTCCTTCTTTCATCTATCTCCTTTTTCCATTCCTTGTTTTCCTTCCCCCTTTTTTGCCTGTACCTTAGGTTTAACATCTGGTCATTAATGACTATAAAAGTTTACAAATACAGCTCTATTAGCTTTTGATACTATGCATTAAAAAAACAAATCAAATCAATAAGCATTTACTAAGAGTCTAGGTAGACTAGAGGGCAATCAACTCACCCTGATAACTCACAGGGACTCCCCCCTTCAGACCCAGGTAAATGGAGTGTTTAGTCAGGCCAGTGGGATAGTATGCAGACACACAAGACATACATACTTTTGAGGATCCCTTAAAGGTAAATAACACAGCACTAACATTTATCGAATACTTAAAACTTAATGCATATAAAGGCACTTAATTCAAGCCTCATAATTCTATTAAGCCTTTCCACAAATGAGGAAACTAAGGCTTGCTGAAGCAAAGAAAGTATCTCAACAGTACACACAGAACCAGGACTCAAAGGTAGAACCATATGAAAGGTAAACAATGCAAGTTGAAGTTCATTTCAATAAGAGAAAGGACAAGAGTATGTATGAGCAAAAGAAATGTAAGCAGTAATAAGTAGCCAAAAAAGCACTACAGGGGCTTACAGAAAAGCTTCTGAAAAGTTAGGATTGAAGCCAGACTCCAACAGTATTTGAAAAGATGTACTGAAGGAGGGAAACTGGGCCCAAGGAAGTACTGTGAACAAAAGCGATGAGGCATGTCTGAAGTAGATGGTGTGTAAAACCAGTGTGGGTGGGAGCCGACTCAGTAGGAAAGTGGTAGGTTAACTGTTGAAAAATTTTCTACAAGGTCCCCTCCTCCTTAAAACAAAGGCCAAACTCCTCAGCGTAGCATCTAACACCCTTTGATTCCAACCATTCGGTACTCCTCACTCACAAAACCTACATTCTTGTCAAAATACAAGATTATAACCTGAACACTCACTTGCTGCATGTTTTCTCCATGCAAGGCTTTGCTCATTAAAAAGTAGGCTCCTATCTAAGACCAGCACTCAAAACCCTACCCATCTTTCACCACCCAGCTTAAATGCCACTTTTTCCACGAAGTCTACTCAACCTAGCCAAATATTTATCTTCTACAGCTCCCAAAGCGTTTTGTTTCTATTTTCACTCACACAATTAAAGGTAGGTCTGGGCCCAGGGTAAGGTGTTGAACCCTAATGAATATGGATATCTGACTCAGGGAATAGAAGTCCAAAGCTGTCAGCTTCTTAGGAAATGTTCAGCAAGCTGAATCTGATCTACAAGCCCTAAAAGGAAAACAAAGGAAAAAGTACCTTTGCTTATCAGCATTAGCAACTACATACCAGTCTTCAAAAGGCAGGTGAAGGCATGTGTAGTATACTCAATTTGTAGTCCTCCTGACTCATGTTTCTAAACTGCTTTTACTCTCTTAGCTGTGGCTGTTTGTGAGGCAAATGCTTTCCAGATGTAAAACTTTACTGAGCAGAAAACAAGAACTTCTGCCATATACCCAGCGCACAGCAGTTTCATTTTTAAAGGAATCCCTGCCCTTGAAATCTAGGATCTAGAAACAGAAAGTTGGTGTGTTTGAATATAATTAGGATTTTATCTTAGATTGTATCCAGAAACTTGGCTAACCCCCTCTCAGTATGTTAATGTATATCAAACTATATATATAGCTTTGGGTTGAGAGGTCAAAGGGATCTGCAAATATTAGGACACAGTCATGCCTGAAGCAAATCTTTTAGTTTATGATGAAATAAGAATGAATAGAAAGCTAGACCAGAATTATGACTAAGTTGGAATTAAAAGTAGATATCAAAGCATTCACAGATAACAAAACCTGATTTGACACTAACTTCTCAAATACCATAGTTCTGTCAGGCCCTCAGTATGTTTGTTAGCTATTATTAAAGAGAGAGTCACAGCAAACTAGATAGCCCCCTTTTGGTCTGCAAAACACAAAATTGAAAGTCAGGAAAGATTTAATAACCGTTAAATTCAAATACTGACACGATACGAATTTTGTCCGTATTTGAGTAACTTTTCCAATTAATCTTAAGAAGGCTGCTCAGTTTTTTAATAGACATTGCTATTGGAAAATACTATTTGATTTTACACAAAGGGCAGAAAAGTTTTCAAGATACTTTTAAAACAGAAAATGTTCAAACTATATAACAGCATGCTGTTGAAACCCAGAACCAGGCGCCTCTCCTCATCTTGGCCTAAGGTATTTAAAATTGTCACCTGCACAATCTGCACACCTTTTCTGTATTTGATACCAGGGTGAATATATTAAAAGTTGAGGAAAAGGACAAGCATGCCAAGGGCTTCAGTTTTACTGTGTTCAGTGTCACAGATCAAAGACAGGTAAACTGATTACATAAATGCACATTAATTCACTCTGCTAACAAATGGAATTATCAGAAAGGATCTCAAATACCCTAGCCGTTCATTCAACAATTAGAATGGCCTACTATGTGCCAGACACTTCGATAAACAACCATGGACCCCGACTTATGTGAGTCCATAAACTACATTCTCATTTTATCCCAAAAACTCTTCAGAGAAATAACTTATGAAGTGAAAAGTTACCCAGTCTTATGTAAATCTGTCACACCACCAGAGAGAGCATAAGAAAAAGGGAGATTTTGATGGGTGTACTATGAGATGACAAAAATGCATCAATTCTCTTTTTAAAGTGTGACCTGAAAAACTTTTTCCTAGTCCCTATTGGGCACCAGAAGACACAATGGTAGTGTCTTTCCTTTAGACATATGGTTAGAAAAATATTAGTATCTCATAGTAAAAAATGCAGAGGGGAAGGGTACCTTATTTGGTCTCCTTTAATCAGTAAGCTTGAAGCACCAGGCTACACACTATTTACATTTTTAATGAAAAACAATTTAAGCTACAGCAGCCAATGAAGCTGCTACAGGGAAAATCGTTAATAACTGAAGATCTGCAACTGTTCTAAAGCTTTCTTACGGTTCGACCAGTTCCAAAAAGTTATCCTTCAATCGTATTACTTTCCATATGAATGTCCGTAAGCACAGAGACAGGAACACAGGAACTAATTTCATCACTGTTTTCACGCTTCTATTCCTAACTGCTGACAGGATTCTCCACACATTTGAGGACGATACCTTACTCCTGGCCAGTGGTTCTAGTATTAACTGCTTTTTCTAAACTCCACCTTAATTGTATTAAACCAATACATGACTGAATATAACACCAATCCATGAAATACCTTCACCCGAAGCTTTGAAAAATGGGTAAAATACTGCTCACTTTGTATTCAAGTTTTCCAACAAGTAAAGGCTGGCTAAAACACTTAAGAGCCCAAGTAAAAACATCTCAGGAGCTTTTCCTCTCCCAGTTTCCCATATCATCTCACAATCTGTCTCAGTAACTTAACTTAACTCCTTAAATATTAACTCATCTACACATTTCTACAGTGTCACTAACCCTTCGTGACCAGTAACGACCCCAGATAAAAACTTGCGGAACTGATTTTGAATCAAGAAAGAGCCGCACTTGGTCTTTTTAGCTCCCTAAAGGAATCATGGAGGGAATGTAGTAGAAAACCCGGGAAAAGGAAGAAGGCGCGTTCCACACTCTGCACACATTATTTTTACGGGCCTGCCCACTGCGTAAGGACCATCAAGTGAGAGCTGCCAATTTTTCCCTCTTCACACATTACAGAAATACCCTCGGGACCTCCGCCCTACTTATCCTAATAGTTCTTCCCCCTCTAGAGCCAAGCCAGGATAGTAATTGCCCCTCCACTCCTAGATTCCCATTTATTCAACAGTTCTCCCCAAATAGTGTACCTTGGGCTGCCAATAGTACACCGAGTGCTTGGCCCTTGCCGAACAGCGTCAATCTCTGGTTCCGGATACACTGCCCCTCCCTCTCCATCCCTCCCGCGCCCGGCGCCCGACCGCTTGCGCCCGGCGGGAACTCGGCGCGGAAAGCGCGGAACTCGGGCGCGTTACCCGCTTCCTACCTCCACCTTGAGCGCGCGGCCCCTCACCCAGGGCTCCCGCCACCACCGCGCGCCTCCCCCCGCCTCTAGCGGGCCGTTCACCTCAGAGCAGCGCCCAAGAGCCCGAGAGGAATCGGTGCCGCGCTAGTGGCGCGTCGCGTCGGTACCGCCGGGGCACTGGCTCCCAGAAAAGTAACAAGCACGGTGGCGGCGGTCAAGCCCCTCACTGAAGCGGCGTACCGCAGGCCCCGGCCAACGGCCCTCCCCTCTGCCGAACAAAAGAGCCTCGCACTCGGCGCTGCCCGCCGCCCGCACCGCGCAGGCGCGACGACCCTCCGCACGGCACTGTGGGACCTGGAGTCTGTCCAAGACTACAGGAACCGACGTGCTGCGCGCGCCCTACGCCACCGCGCACGGTGTGCGAAGGACTCAAGGAGTTTTGGTTTTTAAAGTAAAGGTGCCCAAGCGACCGTGAAAGCTGCAATCTAGAAAATTAGAACATGTAGTTTTACCAGCGAGCTCCTTGGTGCTTGTTTCCAAAACTCAACCACTTCTGGACAGTAATTCACATTTTCGAAATGTTTTAATCCTAACGGCTTCTCACGAGAGCTTTATCAAATCCCCAATAATGTCTGTAACTCCTCAATTTCCGCCTCTTCAGATATCTGTAAGGCTCCTACTTCTCGGCGTTTAGATTATTTCCCCTTCGAGGTCTTCTCTGACTCCCTAGACTAGGTAAGGTCCCCCGCGCAGGTGTCATCGTGGCATCCTGAATTTCCCCCTTTTCATTGGCTGCGCCCAGGTATAGCTTTAGTGCAAACCCCCTTATCTCCATGAACACTCCTCACCCAGCCACCCAAAAGAAACAAATAGACAGAAAATATATTTGTTATTCGTTGACACAAATGGTTTAGCTCTTCTGATTTCTACTACATTGCTGCCCCCAAACTCTTCATATGGAGATTCGGACTCATCCTAACTAACAGTCACCCAACTTGATTGTCATTAGTTAATGTCCGTCTACTTTTCTGGACTCTAAGCTCTGGCAAGGGCAGTTTCTACCTTGCTTTGTGTTGTTCCGCACTCTATACTCGGTGGCCAGTACAGACCTTGGCATACAGTAGTCAAGCAGTATTTGTTGAATTAATGAGATGTTCTTCTCCTACAAGACAGTAAATAAAGGTGATCAAGATTTCCTTCATGTCTTTTCTTTACACCCTTGTGGGTTTTTTTTTTTTTTTTTACTCTCTCCCTTTACCTATCAAATCAGGAACTAAATAGAACTACCAGGAAATTACTTTTTTCCCCTTCTTACTTTGAATCTTCAAATATCCTCCTAATCAGACGAAGGACAACCTAGTCTACTGGACTCTACTCCAGGATGCCATAGTCTTCATTTATATAACGGTATTGCTGAGCCAGGCACTGTGCAGAGCTCTGGAGAATTGCCATGTAAGAAACCCAGTTCCACGATGTAATAGTTTTGCTGAAAGGGCTGTGAGAGCATAGAGAAGAGGGCAATTCTTCCTGAGATGTTTGGGCTGGTGTCTGTGAAGAAGCAAAACATCTACTCCCCCTCTCCTGAAGGGTCCTATTCTGTTTTTAATAGTTGTAATAGGAAAATTAGTTGCAATAATATTAGTTACTACTATTGGGTGCTTACCCCAGAGCTAGGAACTGTTAAGTCCTTGATTAATGTTATTTAATAATCCTCACAACAACCCCAGGAGGTGGGAGTTACTATTTCCATTTTCCAGAAAGGCTCAGAGGTTGTATAACCTGTCCAATGACATTCAGCAAGAAAGGGGTGGAATTAAGATTCAACATTATTTCTAATTCCCAAACTATATTCCTTCCTGCATAAAATGCTGCTGACCCTAATTCCTCATACTAAGCCGAATTCTGCTTCCCCATGTAAATGCCACTCATTTCCCCTACTTCTGGGTCTGTGGCTGCACAGTTTTCTTCTGTAAACCTAATTCCTCTTTCATATTATCCTTCTAGTGTTGAGATTTAGGCTTCATGTTTCTGCATCAACAATGTATTTTTTAAAAGTCTTTTGGAATTAAATGGGATTAGCTCTTTTCTCATCTTATAAAAATGACTTATAAGAATTTTACGTCATTGAGACCCTCAGAGTTTTCTTTTCCTTTTTAAGGTAATAACTCACTCATAATAATCTTGCTCAGGACAACATTTGAAGTCACATTGCTCATGCCCACAGGAAATGCATCTGTCACATGATATTTCTAAAATCACAGGAATGTGGGGAAAGGAAGAAGTATGGTGCTGCAAAAAAGAACAAGAACTTGGAATCAAGCTGAACTGGATTCAATTCTGTCTCTACTACTTTCCTGCTGTGCAACTTTACATAGGCTGCTTAACTTCTGAGCCTCAGACTCCATAATTCTAAAACATGAAACTATTACTTAAGACCTACCTTGCAGTATTTTGTGGGATTAACAGTAATGTATAATGGTAATGACATAGCTGGCGCTTTTAACAATGGCAGTTACTTTAGACACAGTAGAAAGCTGCTTCTGAGATGTGATTTAAGGGGTGGGGAAAGCATAGAACTTTAAAAATATTTTATTCCACACTATCTGAGATTCTTTGTTTCATTTTACCAATTTTTAAAATTGTGGATATATATATATATGTTACATATATATATATGTAAACATAAAATTTACCATCATAACCATTTTTAAGTATACAGTTCAGTGGTATTAAGTACATTGATAATGCTATGCAACTGTCACCACCATCTATTTCCATAACTCTTCATCTTGTAAATCTGGAGCATGCTCCCCATGTCCCTCTCCCCTTAGCCACTGACAACTATCATTTTGCTTCCTGTCTCTATGAATTTGATGACTCTTAAGTATCTCACATAAGTGGAATCATTCAGTATTTGTCTTTTTTTGTGACTGGCTTATATCACTGAGCATAATGTTCTTAAGATTCCTATGGAGTTATGTTGTAGCATCTGCCAAAATTTCCTTCCTTTTTAAGGCTAAAGAATATCCCATCGTATGTATGTATGGCATTTTGCTTATCTATTCACCTGTTTTTGGACACTTGGGTTGCTTCCACATTATAGCTATTGTGAATAATGCTGCTATGAACATGAGTGTACAAATATCTCTGAGCCCCTATTTTGAGTATTAAAAAACAAAATTCAATTAAATTTAAAGATCAAATTGGTTTTACTCAATTCATGAATCGGCAGCATCCCATCTAGTAAACAGAAAGGAGCTCCAAGTAGCTGTATAAAAGGGAAAGCCTTTATAGGCAGAAGGGAGAAAGGCAAAGAAAAAGCGGACTGCCTCATCTTTCTTTGGGGAAGGAGTCTATCAGGCAGAATACCTCACTAGTGCTGACCAGAAAATTCCAGACTGACTGGTGAAGATTACATTCCTGGGAATGAAATGAAACTACAATTAGGTTAGGTATTAAGTCTTGGTTTGCTTAGTGGGGCTTAGCACAAGTGACTCCATTTTTGGGCTGTTGTTTCTTTTTTAACAGAGTATATACCTAGATATGGAATTGGTGGGTCATATAGTAATCCTGTTTTTATTTTTTTAAGAAACTGCCATACTGTTTTCCACGGCAGATAATATACTATTTTACATTCCCTCAAACAGTGCACAAGGGCTTCAGTTTCTCTACTTCCTTACAACCCTTATTGTTTTGTTTTCCTGAGTAGCCATCCTAAAGGGTGTGAGAATCTTTGTTTGATTTTGACTACTACTTGAAATTCTATTGTTAAAGATTTATTCATTTGGGGTTAACAATCACTCTCTTTTAAAAGGCAAATATATACTTAAGCCATCTGTTTCTCTTACCTCCCCTGGGCAGTCTGATTGTCATGTAACTTCCCTGTAGTTACTGGACTCTAATTAAAAGTACACTTCTCAAATCATGCACCCATAGTCCTGACTGTGACTCATTTTCTCATGTAAAGACATTCTGTCTGGAGAGGTACTAGAATTTCAGATGTGGTCGAGATTGCCCTCGTTATCAAGTGTTGGAAATTACTGTTGAAAAAATAAGGTAGAGACAGGTAATTAACCACCAGTTTGGGAAACATATATAACATTTAAATTATTTAACAAATTTATTTTAAAATATTAAGTAGTATGTGAGATAATGATGCTAAGCCCTTATATGCCTTAGAATATAAAATCCAGGAGGTCAGGGTATTTTCCAGTTTGGCTCACTGCTTTTTTCTTCAGCCTGAAACAATGCCTAGCCCACAGAGAGGGATCAATAAATGTTTGTTGAATGAATGGATGCATTCTGCAGACATACTCTATGGTTCTCCAAGTGAGTCCACAGACTCTGTAAGGAGTCTGCAAGGTCAAAACTATCTTCATAACAATATTAAGACATTATTTGCTCTTTTTTACTGTGTTAACATTTTTCACTGATGGTGTAAGAGCAAGAGTAGGTGAAATCGTTGGTACCTTAGCATCAAGGCAGCCTGGTACTAATTGTACTAGAGTATTTGTATTCTTTACTGCTACATCTATGCAATAAAAGAATCAAGATGCCACTTTCACTTAAGAAGAAGCAGTGCAATTAATTTTATGAAATCTCTCCTAGAGTATAGGTCTTTATGTTCTATTGATGAAATGGGAGATGTACTTAAATCTCTTCTGCTGCTTACTGAAGTATGTGGTTCTGGATTGAGATGTGTGAGCTGAATTAGCTGCTTTTTTTTCATAGAACACCAATTTTATTTGAAAGAATAACTGACAAAAAAACCCTATGGTTATTTAAATTTGGAAATTTGAGTGAAGTGAGCCTGCCACTTCAAGGAAAAATGACTTACAGTATTTCTACCAGTGGCAAAATCTGAGCTTTCAAATCATATCTCAAAATTATGATTTTGCAAAAGGCGATATCCACCACAGTGGACTTGACAGCTTCCCAAGATTTTCCTGTTGAGATCAGTGATGATTTTAATAAATATGATTTTTTATATTAAATAATGAAATGCATCAGAATTTGTAATATCTGCATAACTCAGCAAACCAGTATTTTCCAAATGGTTTCAGATTCCCATTGCAACTGACTGATTTTTAAGAAACTATCATTTGTTAAGTTTTGCTAGTATCAAGGAACAATATCCACAATTATCAGAGAAGGCTAAAAAGACTTCTCCTTCCAGCTATGTATGTGTGCAATAGGATTTTCTTCATTTCCTAGACCAAAATAACAGCACACCAGAGAGAATGGGGAGGCAAATACAAGGATCCAACTGCTTTCAAGCCAGGTATTAAAGAGATTTGCAAAATTCTAATACAATGCCACTGTAGTAATTTTTTTGGAAAGTGTAGTTATACTTCATAAAATATGTTAACATGTAATGGTTTAGTAATATTGTTTTGGGTGAATTAACATGTTTTTTTCTCAATTTTAATCTCTAATTTGGTAAATACCACACATAAACAAAAGCTTTTGTCATTTTGGATTCTGATGCTTTCAGAAAAGCTGCTTTGAGGTTACGTGCAATGATATCTGAAAGGGTATCTCGCCGCGACCCTCCTTACCCAGAATGACTCAGGAGACACGGGCCCACGCAAGAGACTTTATTATCTGAAGGAGAGAGTGGCTGCCCCAGAGGGGGGTGCGGGGGGGGAGAGAGAGAGAGAGAGAGAGAGAGAGAGAGAGAGAGAGAGAGGGAGGGAGCGAGAGGGCAGGGGGGCAGAGAGACAGAGAAAGAGAGAGGGCAGCAGAGAGAGAGAGAGAGCGGCAGAGTGAGAGAGACAGAGGGCAGCAGTGTGGTGCCTTTTATTGTGGCGAATCCACTCGGCCTGTTGCCTTGGGGGAGGGTCGGGATGCTTAGAGATAAGGCGGGGGAAGCCCAGTCAAGCCCCAGGCAAGCCCAGGCATAATTCTCACCAGTTTATGTGCTTGGGACCATGGGGCAAATGGAGGATAAATTACTATATTCTTGCAATATCCACTTTACAGATGAGGAAACTCAGACTTACAAAGATTTAGGACCAGTTTACTGCCACACGGTCTATTTAGTGTTCGGTATTCTATCCAAGTTCTCAAACTCCAGGGCTTGTATTTTGTGATCTTAACTTTTTCCTTTGTAGTATCTTTGCAAAAATTATCTTTGAGTAGGTTGTTACATGACATTTCAACGACATAAAACAAAAGTCTTCATCAAATTCAACAAATTTTTCTTTCTTACAAACTAGCTGCCGATCCTTCTTTGGGCTGGTTTCGGCTAGTGAAATTGGTGTCTGGTGCACCGTTTCAGTTTGGTTTTCGCTCTGACGATTTGCGGTTTTACTAATCTGAGGTGGCGTCCCCTCGATAACTCTGCTGGGGGAACTGCAACCCACGGAATTCCAACGGGGACGCTCCCGGGGACTGCGTGGCTCCAGGAATGTGGACGTTTTCCTCCCTGACCCTCCCTCACATTCAAGACCTCCCTCGGCCGAGGGGAAGCGCGGGTGACAACCGCCACATACCTCTCTTGGGGGAACTCCCTTTGGACCTTTAATGACGCTCCCTGGCCGCCGATTGGCGGGCCTGACAACAATGGGCGGGACGCGACTCTGCATTGTACGTCAGAGCTCATTCACGTCTCCTCACCGGCGTCCCGACTCTGACGCCCGCAGTGAGTCTAGCAGGATCCCTACTCCAGCTAGGGGCGTGGGAGGGCCGATCGCACCGCCCGGGAGCGGAGATAGCCACTAAGAGCCGGGGCCTGCAGGGGCGGGGCACCCTGGGCACCGGGGATTGGTGCATCGGGAGCCTTCTCCCGTCGTCCACCGGGGCGCCGGCCACTCACCCGGAAGGAGAAGCCGATACGGGCTGCATGGTGGCGCGCCGGCGGTGTTGTGGGGAGTGCGAGCTGCTCTTAGGTGAGGGGGCGTGCGCGGGCCGAGGGCTTTAGCGTCAGCAGTGGCCTTTGGAGTGGGGATCTCGTTCGGGGCTGTCTCACTTCCTGGGGTGAAGGCGGGATTTTCGTCGGGATCCAAGGAGGAAAACTCGGCTTTTACATTTATTTTTAAAGTGTAAAACTTCTTCCTACTCCCAAGCTTAACAGGCGTAGGAGAGGAAGGACCATGTGGCCCTTTGGCTTCTAATTCATAAAGGAGGGGGAGTGGCCGGAGTAAAAGAGTTGAGGGACATTTTCCCAAACGGCTGGGATTAGGAGTAATGACAAGTATTTTACAGAGACACAGGAGGCTCTTGGGCTAGATTGTGGTTGCCGTTGTGACTAGCTTCCTAGTGGAAAGGGGTGGCAAATCACAGATGAAAAAAGGACGGAGCAGAGCTGCTTGGTTGAGAACACACAGCTTGGTCAGAAAGCGGAGCTTTCCCTACCACCTGTAGGAAGGAGAGCTTTTTGAGTTGTCATCTGGCACAAGGGCTCAAGAATGAGTAAGAAGTGATGAGAGTCTTGGTGGCTCAATATACTTTTAGTTACCTGATTTTTAAAAGTCTGTCTCGAAGTAGTTTCAGTGGGAGCGAAAATAGTGGCGTTAAAGCCTTGAATTGTTAGGACAGTGGAAAACTTTACAAGGAACCCACTTTGTAAACGACAAACAACTGGTTTCCTGGAGACAGTGGTGTTGTTACAGGGGGTGAAAGTAAAGGAAACTTAAGGTCTAACTGAAAGGGACCGCGAAGTGTGAACGCTAAATGAATTGCGTAATCAGCTGAGAAGGTTGCTGACACTCTTTATTTGGGTAACACACGGATGATCCATCTCCCAAATCAGAGAGGTAGTTAAGAACTTCCTCCTTTCTCTCCACGGGAAGAACTGAGTTTCATTTCCTCCCGAGGGATGGCATCTACGGGGAGAAAGCTGGTGAACACTAGTTGCTAGAAATTATTACTTGGTGTCTAAGATTTTGTATTCCAGTGTTTTAAAGGAAAGTTACAATTGAAACTTTTTTAGTGCCCTTTAAACTTAGATTTAAGCACATAGCATCTTGGAGGTGGAGTCCTGGGATTTTTTTTAAAGCCAGTTTTTAGCTGTTTGTATCTAAGTGGTATTAGCCCCAAAGGAAAGGGGAGGAACTTGGCACTCGGAGGTGGTCCAGAGTCCTAGGCAAACTCTTACTGAGCTTGAGAATGATGATAATTTCTTAATGATCCTGAATTTGGCAAACCTTTCAAGGTAGCAGATGTGTGAGCATCACTGAGTATGTGGATGATTGATTTCTTTGTCATCATCTTTTCTTTTCCTTTTGTGAAAAGACTTAAGAATATTTAATTTACCAAATGCCTGAAAAGAGAAGAGAAAAGAAAAAAAATCTGAGAATGTTCATTGTCCCTAGCAAGTTGGCCTGCTCTTTTGGGTCACAGCCATTTGATGCTACATTCAAAACGTATACATCGGCTGTTAAGGAATTGAAATTTCCTGCCTCTCAGTTCAGGTCCTTCAGCACCTTTGCAATGGTGACTGCATCAGTTGAAAAATCAGATTGTCAGCAAGATACATTTAAGATGGTATTGCAATCACAAAATTAATGGTTTGCTCTTTAGCCCGATTTTCTTATATACCATGCAGCTTTCTCTCTGTGCACTCTCTGTGTGAAGATACTGCAAAGAATTGGAAAAGCTGTTTACTCTGCTAATTTTGTGGTGTAAATGAGTTCCCCTTCTTTTGAAACGTTAGCCTTGTGTTAGCAAAACATAAAATAGAAGGAAACTCATTACACACTCTTCTAATGGTAAGGCAGAACTAATAAGAGAATGTGTTTAAAATTAATTGTAGGACTGTAAAAATGAGTGGGTGTGTGAATGGGCATGGGGGGAGGAAGAGCTTAGAGATAGTCTTCTTTTCCCAGGAGTCAGCCTGGATCATTTGTTGGCCGTACATATTGGCTGAAGTCAGTTTTCATTTCAAGGTAAATTGGAAAGAGAAATTAAACCTTATTGTTCTGCTCTTAAGAGAGGAGAAGGAGATGGAGGCGGCAGCCAGGGTGGATGCTGTTGGAATACTTCTAGGAGCAACAAGATTAGTGCTGTATTTTAACAGAAGGTGACATCATGGGCCCCTTTGGACTTGAGTAACCCTGTGCTGCAGCCTTCATGGTCCCCTTGCTGGAGTGGGCGATGTCGCTGCACATGTAAACTGCCACACTGGGGGAAATAAGGGACTTAGGCTTTAATGAATCTTTACAAAGGAGCGGAAAATATCCTGAGTCGACCTGTGCAGCTGTGGGGCGCTTGGGCAGAGGTACAAACCGGATGGCATGTTGAGAAAGCAAATGATTAGAAACATTGGCTTGGGTTCCGGAGAATGGATTAGATGAGGAAAGGTTGCAACTGGGCAACCCACTCAGGTGATCCCAGAGCTCTGGGATTTACTCTGGGGAGAGAGGGGACTGTGGTTAGCAAGACAAAGGGAGGTTTAGGAGCAGTGGTGTTTGTGGGAGCTTGGTTGTCTCTAAACAGCCGGGAGGGGGCGATGTTAAGCTCATAATGAAGCTATACGGGCACCAGACGCTGCTTTGCCTGCAGTCCTCAGGCAGAAAAGTTTTACAACTGAGCTGGTTTTGGCTGCCTGAGGCAAACACTGCAGAGATTCAAACGTGCTGTGGCTGGAGGTGGCCTAGTTAAGGGCTCTGGCTTTGGTCTGACAAGGGAGGCAAATCCCCTAGGGCTTTTAGCTTGGCACAGAGAGAATGTGTGGGGAATTTTTTGCTTCCTCTTAAATTTTAAACAAGAACAAAAAATGTTACTGGGTTTCCCCAGGGGTTTGATTAAAAATTTTCAGGGTTTTGCCCTGGTACAGAGTGATAAGAGAAATGTACTGACTATGATATTCTCATGTCCTCTGTCCCTCATCAGGTTTTTTCCTCCAATGGGCTTTTGGTGTAGGATGTTGGAGAACCAAGAGCAGGAGGTAAGCTCCAAGCTCCAGGGAACAGGTCGGTAAAAGACTGAGGGGATTTGGTAGAAGATGCCAATTGCTGGTAGTATTCTTCTCACAGTATGTATCTTGGTGGTTCTGAAACGCTCATAGTAAATCCTGGAGAAGGAAATTGGTAGTAAAGGCATTATTAGGAAATGAAGATCCTTTTGAACTTTTTCATTTTTTGGAATTTACTACTAGAATATAAACGGCGAGGGCAAGGATTTTTGTCTCTTGTTCATGCTCAACCTCCAGGTGACCTAGAACTGCCTGACTCATAGTGGGTGGTCAATAAATACTTGCCAAACTGAATGTACAAGCAAACATGAATGAAAGTTCATGCTGAGTGGAAAAATCTGGCAACCTGTGTTGTCAAAAGCTGTCCTACTGTGTGGCTGAGTTGACGCTGAAGGAGCATTTCTTACCTCCAGGAGGTGATCACTGTGCGTGTTCAGGACCCCCGTGTGCAGAATGAGGGCTCCTGGAATTCTTACGTGGATTATAAGATATTCCTCCATGTAAGTGCATCAAACTTCTACATTGGGGTTGATACTCCAGAGCTGAGGGCTAGTGCTGGGGTGGAACCTGTTGGTGGATGTGACAGAAGCAAAGGAGGGAGGAGAGGGAAGAGCTTGGGATATTTCTGAGTTGCTTTCAGGCTGCGTGGTGCCTTGTTGCTCTAGTTGGGGCCCCTGATCAGGACTGTGGCCTGGTGGCTTAGATCCCCAGTGAGAGCAACAATAGTGAGTTCATGTGAACTTGGCCTTTTCCCACTATACCTTTTTCATGTACCTCCTCCCTCAGACCAACAGCAAGGCATTTACCGCCAAAACGTCCTGTGTACGTCGCCGGTACCGTGAGTTCGTGTGGCTGAGAAAGCAGCTACAGAGAAATGCTGGTTTAGTGTAAGTTTGCTCTTGCTTCCTTCTTGGGTCTGAGATTGGCTTTTTAGGTGCTTACTTGGAAATGAGAGTTTACAATAAAGAAAACTTGGCAACATGCCAGGCACTAAGCAAGTTGAGAAATGTGTTCTTAAATTATGTTTTCATGTCATTGCAAGAAATAGAGTTCTGTTTCTAATATTTTGACTGAATGAAGCCATACAAATATATTTTTCTTTTTTTTTATATGCTTATTAGTCTAGGGCTAAACAAATGTATTGCTACCATTTTAAATGTGCTTATCACTGGTTATCAGAAAATTTTAGCTTCTGGACTTATTCCTGCCCATTTGCATGTAAAATTGTGTTTTATTTTTTTCATTTCTGTGTAGAGACCTTTTCAGAGACATAACAGACTAAGACCCTTAGGAAAAGCAGTATTGTTCGCTCCTCACCTACATCCACCAAATAGTCCTAAACCAGGACACAATTTAGAACAATGATTCCCCCACAGGATGGTCACTGAATGCTCTGGTGATGGGTGGCCTGTTGATAACCAGCTAGTTAGTTAACATGTGGGACTGGTGAGGCCTTTGTCACACCAGGCCCTCATAAGCCAGTTGGAACATCATCTGACCGACCTATATCCTCTAGCCCAACTTGTCCTTCTTGAAAAGTATGTGCTTATGTGCTGTGCTTTGTAAGAGGCTAGGGAGGCTTAAGAAGCTTGTGGGTAACTTGCTGCAACTCAGTTACTTTTAGGACATTCCAAGCATGTGACCTTCTGCTTCTGGGAGGAGTAGGTATTCTTAATTTACATGCAAGGACCCAGCATTCTCTATTCTCCATGCTTCCTTGTCCAAGTTTCTTCCTTTTTTAAGTAATAGTTGATGGTGAGAGTGGGTCTTGTAAACCTGTAGTACAGCAACAATTTAGTTTTGAAGTCACAGACTTGGTTCAGATACCAGCTCTGCTGCTTACTAGCTGTGTGACACTAGGAAATTTACTTAATGTCTCTGATTTTATTTCCTTAGTACTAAAATGGGGATACTAATATATTTTTCACTGGGTTTTGGAGAGGATTCACTGAAAGAAGGTTTGTAAAACATTCAGCACAGTGCCTGCAAACATAGCATTTAGTTAGTCAGTGTTAATGTCCCCCACACCTTATTAAAAGCTATTTGCATTGATTTGTGCCTCTTTTTAGGGAATTTCTTTGATAAGGGACTGGAATGTTATGCTTACCTTGGGTGTTACATTTTATGACCCCCACAGTCCTGTTCCTGAGCTTCCTGGGAAGTCAACCTTCTTTGGCAGCTCAGATGAGTTCATTGAGAAGCGACGACAGGGTCTGCAACACTTCCTCGAAAAGTAAGTGGGTGGACATGGTGGGCCCGCACTTGCTTCCTGTGGGCGGGGGTAGGAGGAGCTTCCAGGCAGGATGGTGCCTTGATCAGACAGGCACATTTGTGGCAGGCACCTTTCTTGCACCCTTGCCTTCAGTGCTCACTCAGGCCAGAAGCCTTTCAGAAGTAGGGACTGGGAGAGCAGCTCGTCAGGGTGATGCTCTGTTGTCTATCTGTGTTTCCTCCAGGGTCCTGCAGAGTGTGGTCCTCCTGTCAGACAGCCAGTTACACCTCTTCCTGCAAAGCCAGCTCTCGGTGCCTGAGATCGAAGCCTGTGTGGAGGGCCGAAGCCCCGTGACTGTTTCTGATGCCATTCTTCGATATGCTGTGTCAAACTGCGGCTGGGTCCAGGAGGAGAGACAGGGTTCTTCTCACCTGGCCAAGGGAGACCAGCCGAAGAGGTAACTGAAGCTTTCTTTTTTGAGACACTAGGGGCTAGGATGACTGTAACCTGGGCCAGTGACATGTCCATTGGATAGAGGAATTAGTGTCCTAGCATGGGTAGCCTTTTAGAACAGGCCTTGTTCTCCTTGTGCATGGTTCCCTCATCCCACACACCAGGGTCTGTGGTCTGTGTTAACCCATCCCTGGGTAGCAGGCTTGCTTATTGAAATCTGAGGAGAAAGAAAATAAGCCTTTCTTACTTTTTTTGTTCTTTATTCCTCTCCCTAATCCCTTTTTAAAAATAATTATTTTTTTGAGACACAATTCACATAATGTAAAGGTCACCCTTTTAGTGTACAATTGAATAGTTTTTGGCTTATTCCTAAGGTTATGCAGTCATGAATCACCACAGTCAATTCTAGAACATTTTCATCACCCTAAAAGAAACCTTCTGCCCATTAGTGGTGATTCCCCATTTCTCCGAAGCCCTAAGCCCTGGTGACCACATAAGTACTTTCTGTGTCTATGGATTTGCCTTTTCTGGACAATTCATACAAATGGAGTCATACAAGATATGGTCTTTTGTGGCTGGCTTCTTTCAGTTAGCATGTTTTTAAGGTCCATCCATGTTGTAGTGTGTATCAGTACTTACTGCCTTTTTATGGCCCAGTAATACTCCATCTGTATGGATATATCTTTTGTCTGTTCACTTGTGTTTATTCATTTTTGTTGATTTGTTTGTGCCCTTCTTTGCCCTTTTCCACTCTTTTCCAGTTGCTGCTTTCTTACAAGATCAGGCAGGAGGCGCTCTCCCTCACCACCTCCTGGGCAAGAAAAGGACCACTTTGAGGTGTGGGCTCCTGTTGTTGACTCTGAGGCACCTTCCTTGGAAAGCTCCCTTCTGCCACCACCCTCCCCACCATCAAGCTGTGGTTTTACAAGACCTGATGAGGGAACCTCTCCTCAGCCTGTGAGGAGGGCCGTGGGAAGGGACCATGCTGTGCCTTTGGACCCTGGTCAATTAGAAACAGTTTTGGAAAAGTGACTTTGAACTCTGGGTTCTGTTCTCAGGTGGACAGAAGATGCAGGCAAGGAGACTTGCTCGGGTGGCCTTGGGCACAGGGCAGGTGTTGGGGATGCTGGGCAGCTTAGTGTCTTACAGTTGCCTTTGCTTGGGGTGGTTACACATAGGGTGGTCATGACATCTCCTCAAGCTTCTTCCATAGGAATAAACACTGTGCAGATGTTCCTAAGTTAAGCTTAAGGTCCAGGGCTGTTGGTTTTGACCAGAACCCCAATTTTGCTCTCCTGGGAGCTGAGTTTCTTCAGATGTTTGCTGAGCAGCCCAGGAGTACTGCCTCAGGTAACTGGTTTTGGGGACCTGAAAGTGGCAGATTTTAAGTTGCCAAATTGAGTATTGTCCCAACAGAAACGCTTAATGTAGAAGTAGTCCCACCGGCTGTCTTTGCTGCAGCCCCTGGAGCACCTTGTTTCTGGGAGGCTGGCCTCTTGCCTACCTCCTTGCATGGAGAGGGTGGTGATTATATTTATTCTTCCACCACCTTGCTTTACCTCCACTAATACCACTGAATGGAATGGTGCTATGACTCCTGTCTTTGGGGTTTCCTGCATATCCCAAGACCTCAGCCTGGCTGGGACCCGAGACCCCCAAAATAGTTCCTAGCCGTCCGTGAAACAGAGGTGGATGATCAGAGCTAGAGAAAAGGCAGTAGTAGCTCAGGGGGTTTTGTTTTGGAATAGGCTGTCCTGGGCTGTCACCGTCTCTTTCTGGTTATAAAGCGGAGATGTGACTATGTTTTCTGCAGTGTTAGTGTGGGCTCCTTTCTTTTTTGAATCCCTTTCTTGTCCCTTAGTAACAGCTCCCTGCCCCCAGGGCTTCAGCCACCACAGTGTCCCTCTGCTGTGTTGCAGGGAGGCTGTATGTTTAGTCCAATGGGGCACAAAGGCTTTGTTTGTGCCTGGAGAGAGGGCTCTGGGGATGGAGATGAGGAACAACACGCCTTCCTTCAGACAATAAGGCATTCCGCCCTCCTGCTGCCATAATTCCCCTCCGCTGAGAGTTGGAGTGGTAGGAGATGAGTGCTGCTGGCATGCTGCATCGCCTGCCCCTTAGGTTTGTATGTGGTGGTTCTCGCCCACGCCTCCCTCCTCTGGCCACCCCAACCTGTCTATGGGCTCTTTTACTACCAGCCTCTGCTGTGGGACTGTCATGGCATTTAGTTCAGAGTTGAGGGGCTTTGGCCTGAAATAAAATTCAAGTATTTAAGACTGTGGCTGCAATTGGTGTCTAACAAGCTGTAGCCGAGAAGGAGGGAGTGAGGGCTGGCAGTAGTTACTTTCATAAATCATGAATTTATCAGCGTGGAAATAATGGTACAGAACTGTGCACCGCAGCTCTCCTGCATTGTGTGTGCAGCTCAGGTTCACTCCTGGAGGAAGGGTTGTTTTCCAAAGAGCCAGCACCCGGCTCTCAGTTGCGGGCATGAACCTTGTTAGGTATAATTTACCTGATGTTGCTTCCACCCTTGCAGCCTGTCTGAGGCGCCAGGTGCTGAAAGAGAAATAAAGTTTGTCAACAGGCAGATGCAAAGCCCTGGCTGGGACTCATCCCTCTTTCCTGCCTGCCTCCCCTGAGTTTCTCCTTTATATGATGTAGCAGATCAAGGCAAGGGTAGAAAACCTACAGAGGCAAATCCAAACTGTCAAAAGAAGTTCATTTGAAAGGGGAAAAAACTCCATACACAACCCTCACAAAAACCGACAGATGCTAAGATAATGGCATCCGCTTTGCCGATTGGTGGGGATGACTCATGAATATTAATGAGTCCAATGCTCCAAATGGTGCAGCTGTGAACCCAGCTGTGCCTGAAGCTCTCTGATCTCGAAACTTCCAGACAGGAGCCGGAGGTGGTCTGTGTCAATTCCCTACTCAGCCAAAAAAACAGCAAGCTGGGTTGGCCTTCTTCTGTTCGTTCCTTTCTTCCTGGAGTTGGTGCTCAGCAGCTAGTTCTGCCAGCAGGGTAGGCTGCTGGGACAGCAGGAGCCATTCAAAGACACGGATGCAATTTTTCTGACTCCTGGCTTTTTTAATGATCTATTAACAGCAATGCATACAACAGCAGCTCAGTTAATCGAAGGCCAGGCACTGTCCTCCCTTATGCAGAGTTGAGTGTAGGCCATGGAAGGAGAAGTCCTAAAAAGCAGAGTGTTTCTAATAATAGGGCCTGAAGTTACCAGAAAAACAGCAAAGATGGATTTTCCTTCATCCAGGTGGTGTCGTTTGCCTCATGTTTTGCTCTGTCGCTGTGTGTTCAGGGCTAGCCGCTGTGGGGGATGACTGCCATATGAAGATGGGGAGCTCCTGGGGAAGGGGGAGGCCTGCTGAGCTGTTGTGTAGAATGCAAGCATTTTTGTTAGAATTTAGGTTTGAGGTCGGTTCTGTGCCTGATGTCAACTTCTGACAGTAACTTTGGGGCCCAAGTCTAGTCATTTTGCTTGGGATACGTGATCCCAAGCTTACGGGTTTCATTGTTTGGTGGAGGGATGTGTATGGGTGGAGGAGGAGGTGGGTTTTCCTTGCATGAAAAGTCTTCTATGCATCCTTTTATTTGCCTTCACTGCCTAGTGAGGAGAGTAGGCAAGTATGACACTCATTTTTGGGCTGAGGAAACAGCTGAGCTGATTATGGGTCTTAAAAAATATGTTTTTAGATGACAGTAGAATATATTCACGAGAGATCCTTTCCAAGCTCTATAAGGCAGGGTTTATTTTTCCCCGCAAAAAAACTTTTTAAAAAAAAAGCTAACCTAAACCTACCACTGCTCAAATAAAAGAAAAGAAATATCTCCTTGCAGAGCTTTTTGGAGTTCTCAGAAATTGGAGCTCCTTCAGAGTCCTCAGTTTTCTGACTGCTGAGGTCCTAGATCCACACCACCAAGTGCTGGACACCTTGTACTCTTTGGTAGCTTTGCTTGGAGGTGATCATGACTTCTTAAAAATCTGATTGGACCTTATGTTAGCTCCATGTCTGAATCTGTTTATGTCTCAGCTCTTGCTGAGTATTCTTAACACCGTAGGAGTGGGGAGGATAGTGGGCTGGGAGGATGTGAGGTAGGGTTGGAGGTAGAAACAGAAATGGACCAGCTCCCAACCTACCTCACAGAGGCGGCAGTAGCAGTCAGTTGGGCTAGAGTGGCATCTGGATGTATGTGGTAGCAGCCAGCTGACACACGGCTAAAGCCAAGCAGATAACCACTGCAGCGTGAGATAGTGATTTTCTCAGTGAAATCCGGGCACTGATCCTAAGCCATCCCTCCCAGGTAGCCCTCTGCCAGCAGGGACTTGGCTCAGGAGAGGGCATGTTGTCTGGCTCAAGGTAACCTTTCTTTGAACTGGATGAGCGTCCCCCTTCCTGATCTCGCCACTGTACCTTCTTTCCTGAGGGTCCCCCCAACCCACTTGGGAAGCCTGCACGCATTTTCTTCTCATTCACTCCCTGCCCCAGCTCTTCTCTCTAAAGAAATTTCAGGAATTGCTACAAAGACCAGATATGCGTTTGGCTTAGCATCAGGCACCAGCAGTCAGTCCTAGCATCTTACTAGAGAAATAACTTCTTGGGGAAAACCAGTTCCATCTTAGTAATGGCTAGATTTGAAGTTGAAAAGCTGGAACCTCAAGATAAAATAAACATACACCACTGATGCTGAAAAGGGTAATGAGCCACACTTTTGAGGAGATAGATTGTTCCTGACTCAGTGAGCAAGTAAATAATTTTCCCTCCCATTCAGGGGCAACCTGATCCTCTTCCACAAGCAAAGGAGTAAAACATGGGGAACTTATATAGTGAAAGGGGCATGAATATAAGTAGGGAAAGATAGTAAAGCTGGAGTGTGAGAATTAAGACACTACCTGAAAGTCTAAAGTTTTTTCGCCCTGGAAGGGTCGAAACATGGGATGCTTCTGTAATCTTTGCATTATGGGAAGCCACCAGCCAAAATGTTTCATCTGTGGCTATCAGGTCCCTCCTTCCCATCCTTCAGCCAAGCACTTTTTCCTTCATACCATCTGTTTCAAAGGGGCTAGTTAGTTTAGATGCTTCCATCACCGCTCTGGCCCTGTGTGTGTCCCTTCGCCTGGTGGCCATGTTGGTGTGGGAAGCCAGGCCTGCCACCATCCTGACCAGAGTCCTTCCAGCAGAAGGCCCAGAATAGTGAGAGCCCAAAGCGGTTTGTTAGAGGCAGTGCAACCTGCCTGCTATAAGCTACGAGACTTAGATATATTCTACCAATTAGGGCACATCTGTTCGAAATGCTGAAAGTCAGGCATGTCTCTTTAAGAGCCATCCCACTCCTCTCTTTGAGTGATGAGGGCTGGGAGCACGAGGGAGTCAGATGCTGATCAAACAGTCCTACTGCCCAGCTCTGTTAGAAAATTACTGTAATTATGATCTAGTCCCAGCAGAGGGATGAGTTCCAATCCTGCTAATAACCCTTCCAGGTGCGTCAGATTCAGGGCCCATGGGAGGCAGCGCTGACGGGGCTCTGGCTGGCACCACAGCCAGCGATGGCCCTCCTGTCTGTCCTGTGGAGGCAAAGACGAGACAGGCCCTGGACCCCTCATCCCCTCTTGGCCTCCTGAGAAGGCAGTGAGTTTGGGTTGTGTTTTATTTTTTGGTTCTTGATTGAGCTCCTTGAAGTCCCCTCAGCTAACATGAAGTACCAGGAAAATCACAGCCATGAGATGACAGTCTGTCCTTACTCTCTCTGCTTTTGCATGGGGACTGCTGTCAGCACTGCATCAGCCCCCCCGCCACCCCCGTGCAAAGCAGAGGGAATCCGAGTGGTCCCCTTTCAGCTGCCACTGTCTTTGGCCTCATGTTTCTATGATCCTGTGTTGCTCGCTGGGTAGTACACAGCGTTTCACTCTGTCCTCATCTAGAATTTCAGGGCTCCCCTTTTAGATTTCTGGCACAGAAAAGGGGAACAGGGATAGCAGTCAATAGCTCTAGACATGAGACTCACTGTAATGCAGCTCTCGCATTCGGCAAGTGTGGGCTTATTCATATGAAAACATTTTTGTAGTGCAAATCTGCAGTAGTGCAGCAAACAGTTCTCAAAGGTGTTGTGGAGCATAGGCGCTGGCTTGCTGGTTCTTGAGGAATTAGGGTATTTATGCTCTGTCTTCCCAACCTAGCTGTAAGCTTCCTGTCACTGTAATCCAGTGGCTAAAGCACAAACTTCCAGAAGGCAGGGCAGTTTCTCTGTGTTTGGCCCTACGCACACCCAAATGCCCTGAGACAGTGGTTCTCAGCCAGGAGGATTTTGTTCCCAGTAGACATTTGGCAGTGTCTGGCGCCATTTTTGGTTGTTGGAACCAAAATCCCGGAGATGGGGGGTGGAGTACTGTTGACATCTTGTGGGTAGAGACCAGGGAGGCTGCCGAACACCTACAGTGCCCCCAGCAACGGAATCAGGTGGGCCCCAAATGTCAGTAGTGCCAGAAGGAAACCCTGCACTAATGGACTGAAGTCACAAGTGCCGAGTTCTGCTCCCTTCAGCTTCCGCTGCCCCCCTGCTGAGGTGTTGAAGAAGTGATCTCACATACCTAGGTGCTGGGCATGTTCCCAGAGGTGGGTCATATTAATGACAGGCCTGGTGGGGTGCCTACTGTGGGAGGCATCCAGTAAATGCAGGTGGTGCATGTGCCCACCTTGGTGATTGCAGGCAGAGCAATGTTGGAGTGTCTGACCGTGGGTGAAAGGGAAGGGTTAGTAGCCTGTTTTCTCTTCCAAAATCAGATGTGGGAGGATAAAAGGCAGCCAGCTGCTCAGCTTCAGGTTAAGAGCGTCTACAGTAGAACCAGATGCCCTCTTTGAGGGCCAACACTAGAAGCCTCTTGAAACTCACTCCTGTTACAGGAGGCAAGGAAGTGGCATACTATTGCCCAGTGCCACAAAATGCTTCCTCAGTGGCACTCTGCCAGGTGGAGGGTGGCAGGCTGTAATGGGGCCCCAGGAGGAAACTGAACACACACAGCTGCTGACAGCCAGCCAGCCCCACAAGCAACGTGATGCCAGAGACACCAGGCCTCTCAGAACAGCCTGGGCACCAGGAAAAGAAAGTCTGTTGGCAGGGCTTACCTAGGCACCAGGCCTGCAGGGGAGAGGACTTCATTAGAAGGGATGATGCCAAGTGTTGTACCAGGAGAGCCAGGTAATCTCTCTCTTCCCACCCACTCCCCTGGTGACTGGGAGTCATCCATTTTGCCTTATTTTTAGGGTGACCACTTATCCTGGTTTACACCTGTGGTCTTGGCATCATTATTAATAGCTGCATTCAGTCTCCAAAGTATCTCCGTTTTGGAGAATAAATTACAGTCACCTATTGTACCATGTAGTTTTCTAATATAATAGTTTCCTCCAATACAGTAGTTTTGGGGGGCATTATATTTGTAGAATGTTTTTGTACAAAATGGGTCACATCTTAAAATTTATCATTAATTGGATCCCAAAGAGTAGTAAAAGAATGGTTGATTCCCACCAATGGGAAAAAAATGTTTTAGAACAGTTTCTGATAGGGAAATAGGGAGAGTAATTCAAATCTGTTTATTTGCATTTTTCAAATTACTACCCTATCTCTAAATTCTAATGGGGAATGGGATTCTAACCGGCAGGAAGGAAGGGGGAGGAGCAAGGGGCTATGGTTATCCACAATTAGCTTGAGTCACTGGGCTGTGTAGCAGAGATAATCCACGGAGTACATGGCTGCTTTTTCCAAAGTCAGCTCTGCAGATTTTGCTGGTGCTCTGGGAATTAGCAAATCAGCGCTAGTCGAGATTTATCTTTCCAGAGCTGCTCCTGGTTGGGGAGATTTGCAGAGAGGGTTGTTTCTTTCAGCCTGTGTCCCTGGCATCTGAGAGTCTTGTTCTTAAAATGCAAAAAAAAAAAAACCACACACTTTGGTTTCTGCCTTTCTTTTCGCTCGCTTGCTTCTCTTCAACTCCATCTTTCTCAGACTGGTTTTTAAAGGCAGGAGTGTTTCCCCCTCCCCCTGCACTCGTGTTATCTTGCTCTTTGATCCCGCTGCTCTATTGTGACGCAAGTGACTGGCATGAAGTGTGGATTTTGAAAATGTGTCACTGGAGGTGTCCAACTGCTGTTGAACTTGAGTGATTCAATAAACAAAGCAGCAGACTGAGAATTTTCAAGAGTCTTTCATTTCCTCACATGGCAGATTTTGTGTGATTTTTGTCCAAGTCACCATCTTTCAGATCCTCAGTTTTGCCACTTTCAAAGAGTGATTACAAATAAGGCTGTGCAACTGAGCAAGCTAACATGCTGAAAAAGAAGTTAATGGTAACTTGAAATCCAGGCTATTCCTTACCTATTATATTTAGGTAAAGTATCTGAATCAAACAGGGCAGAGGACATCTAGTCATCCCCACTTTTTGGCATTGCTTTCACTTTAAATGGAATCAAACTGTCTGAGTTTACGGAATGAGACAATAGGAATTCTCTCCCATTTTTTTGCTCACTAGAGGGAAAGGTGTAGTTGGTTTTGAATTAAATACAGATTTCTAAGAGATACAACAGGCTATTATATGAGAAAAACTAACATTGAGGTAAATGCAGAACACTGTCTATGCTATTTTGCCATATGGATGATAGAAAAAAATGTATTTTTAATGAAATGTAGCTGAGAGATTGCTCTCAGAGCATTTAGTATTCTCAGATATCAGTTTGGACAATACCAGCCCCAGGTCAGATTATATACAGTGGAGGTCAGTTAAGTTCTGTGTAAATTATTATTTATCTATAATACAGAGATATACATTTGCTTCTTAAATTTAGGATCTTAGCTCATGTTTCCCCCCAACCTTTGCATAAAATTAAGGAAGGAAAAAAGCCTCCCACTTGTAACCCTCTCCTATTTCACATGCCGGAACAATTAGTGGCTGTCCTACATATCATGTAGTTAAGTGGTCTAATGCCCCAGTTACCCACTTAGTCACAGGCTACTAAGGTGGGGATTTGGTTCGTGGAGTCAGAGAGGTGGTAATGTGATGAGCCAGTTGCTCTCTGAGTCTGCTGGCTGAGATGGTGGCTGTCCAGTAGAGCCGGGAGCAGTTTTGCTGGGTGAGGCTTCCTGCAGACACACTGTAGGAATTCACTGCTTCCAAACATTCTCCTTTAGACCTTTCCCCTAACAGGGAATGCCCTTCAGTGTGTAGATCATCTCATCAACCCATCGAATTTGCTCTTATTTTTTCCTGCATGTAACAATGTCAGAGATAGCTAGATGGTTATGGATCAGATTCCCAATTAGTCCATTTGTTTATATCTTTTAGGGCCAATTAATTTTTCTGCTTTTACATCTAGAAGGGTCAGAGGTATGAGTGTGGTGCCTACTCTGAAGCGGACGGAGGTGATGAAAGACCTTTGCACTTTGGCAAACAGTTGTTCCCTTGGGTCTGTAGGTATAGGAGGCAATATTGCACAAAGGGGATTTAGTTTAAAATACTTTAAGCCAGTGGCCATACTATTGAGAGAGGCTTGAACCGCGCAGGATGGAGAAATGACCTTGACTGTGCTCCTTTTTCATTCCCCTTCTGACCTTGACCCAGATACCTTGCTCTTCTAGTATCCTCTTTTTTGGTGTCTCACAGTCACAGTGCAGTGGCACAATGGTATTTTCTCCTCTTAGCCACCCGGCCTTCCAGACTTGGGTGCTTGGGAGTTCTGTATGCTCCCTCTGTTAACACTTTAGTACAATGCCCATTGTCCTTACCTATAGGTCGGGATTGGTGCAAAGGTTCCTAAAATAAGAGGCAATTGGTTCTCTTTGGTTCATCTGCTCATATGCTGCCACCTAGTGGTTCCATCTTCTTTAGCACCCTGTGTAAAGTGAAGGGGATGTTAAAGTTGTGTATTGTCTTTGATCTACTCTGATTTTTTTCCCGAGACCTCAGTTGACCCCTTTTCTTACCTCTTTATCCATCACATACACAAAAAGCTTCCTTTTATTATTCCCTGGTCAGGAAATCTGGAATTGAATAGCTGGCATAGAATTTTTTGAGAAGCTTGGAATCCATTGACAACATCCCTGCTTGCTTCCCAGTTTCTCTCTTGTTGATGTGAGGTGGGTGTCTTGATGCAAGGCTTTAGTTCGGTTTCCACAAATGTGAGGAAGGCGACTGCCAATCTAGGGGTGCTCTGAATAGGCAGTTTCAGAGAGAAATTTCCTGTAACTGCTCAGTTACCCATTTTTCAAAATACCTTGTGTAGAGAGTCAGGTGATAATAATAGCTGATGCTTATTGAGCAGTTATTATGTGCCTGGCATTGTTCTAAGAATGTTGACTCCTTAGTCTTCCTGGGACCCAGTGAGATGGAGTATTGCCTGTCTAAGGTGATGATACTGAGGCATAAACGTTCAAGTAATTTACTCTGGAGAATTTAGTAGTAAATGGGGAACTGGGATTAATTCTCAGGCTGTCAGGTTCCAGAACTTTAGTTCTTAACTACTATGTTTTGCTGCCTTTTCAAGGCACAGATAACCTTAGTGCTATGTACAGGCAACAGGGAAAGGAAACAGGGCTGTATATATGCCAGCTCTTCTCAAAGTACTATCTGAGTCTCTACTGCGACTTGTTGCCTTGCAGGACACAGTGTGGTTGGTAACTGAGGCCTGAAGAGGAGCTCTCCAATGGGCTGACTCCAAGGACTTGGTTTTAGCCTTGTCTCATTTCAGAGAGATTGAGCACAGAAAGAAAAAGTAACCAAGTAGGCAGCCAAAAGGTGTCTGAGAAGCTAGCCAGAAACCAGGCAGGCCTGGGTTCCAGAGATGCTTCTGCCCTAAATGACATTGCAAGTCATCTTCTCTCTCTGGGCTTTTGTTTTCTTTCTGTTTCTTGTTTGGAGGTGGCAAGAATGATACCATTTCAAAAAGAAATTTGACACCATCACACATGGCAAGAAACCAAATCAGATGTTTATTTATGCTTTTCCAATTACCCAAAACAACGAATAACTTCTTCCTCCAAAGGTTTTCTTCTCTCTCACTTGCTCTGTGGCAAGGCTATGAAAAGGCAGAAATGGATGTGAGGACATGTTTAGAGATGGGATGAGCCATGCCAAGGCAGGTTTAGTAACAGGTCTGACGAATATGCCTCTTCCCACTTGTCTTACTGGTGGTTTACAGTTACTACAAAGTGTCAGAGGCTTGAGTGTCTTCAGTAAGGAAAGTCCGTGTGTTGGTGGGATGACAGGTAGGGAGTGGGAACTCTTGATGATCAGTTTCTTCATAAAGGCAGGATAGAGAGAAGGATATGTGTCCTAAAGGGGAGAAAATACAGAAATTTGCTTTTATGTTTCAAAATATAGAAGGTATAGAAGGACACAGAGTAAAAAGTGTCTCCCTCCTACCGTGTCTCAAAGTCACACAGTTTCTCTGTTCTTGGAGGCAACCAGTGTTATCATTTTCTTTCTCCTTCCAGAGGTATCTCATACATATATAAGCAATCAGAGACTCCATTTTTACACAAATGAGAGGACATTAGGCCTACTGTTCTCTGCTGCTCTTTAAAAAAAACCAACACATCTCAGAATGTATTCTGCATCAGTACAGAGAGCTTCCTTTTCTTTTTTACTGTTGCATAATATTCAACTGTATAAATGCACTACAATTCTCCGGCTAGGTCTCTATTTTTAACGTTTATGTCATTTCCAATGGTTTGCTATTGCAAACAAGTAACCTTGTGTATATATCATTTTGTATGTGTGCAAGTGTAGCTATAGGATGAACTCCTAGATGTGGAATTGTTGGGTCAAAGAGAGTGAGGAAATAAGCAACTTTGTTATTAAATAAATTATAAAGTTAAATAGGATGAATTTGTTCAGCTTTGACAGAAAAATTCCAACCTTTCTGTATTCACAGTCAGGAAATGGGGTTCTCATTTGGAAAGTCATAAAGTCAACCCTTGAGTGATAGGCCTGAGCTGGTGCTTTATGGTTGTACAAGGGCCCCAGAGAGTAAGATCTATCCTTATGCATCTTCCTCAATGAACCCACTCAGCTGCTGCTGCACACTAGAGTGGGCCCTGGTCTGGAAGATTCTAAAGACAGTTTGTATCATTGTCACACATGTCATCCTTCAGCCCCAGCAATACAGGCTAGTAAGTTAGAGCTAGTGACATACTAGTCTTGGGTGCCCTCTGTCACCATCCTAATTCTAAACAAAACCCACGTTGCGCCAAACAACTATGATTATTACCCAAAGCAAGCGCTAACTCATTTTACATTTTGATGTGGTTCTCTAAAACACAAGCCACATTCTTTATTACCTAAAAGTTAATCTGATTATATTCTATACGAATCCTCATACTGGATTCCTAATCTTGGTCAATCATATTGTATACACGGGCCTGTGGGGAAAATGTGCCCGGATTTGACAGAGGAGATAAAGAAACCCACACCCATCCTTGTGGCAAAAATTCCTAATTGTCCCCCAACATCAATTCTGCCCTTTTTATTGATTAATGAGCACACCCCTACTCTACTTTTAAGTTGGTCAGAAGTTCTACATAGAATAAAGCTTTCTTTGCATCTTGTTTTGTCTGTCTGTATGTTCAGTTTTGGCCAATGGAATGTAAGCAGAAGTGTGTGCAACATCTGTGAAGTGTCCTTAGAAGGACGGTGTGCCCTTTTCCTTGCATTTTATCTTTCCTCCTGGGTAGGGTACAGACATGATAGATGGAGCTGGAGCTGGAGCATCCATCTTGGGCCATGAGGTAGCCCTCAGAATGTTGGCCACACACAGTGGAGCACAAAGAGAAGGAACCTGGAACCTGGATATTGGATCACTTACCTCTAGATTTTTATGGAAGGGAAAAATTAATTTCTGTTAATTAAATCATTATTATTTTGAGTTTTCTGTCACATGTAATTGAACCTAATCGTAACTGACAGTCCCCTAATTCAGGAAAAACAATTCCAGAGTCATCTTTCTTTCAGTGGTGAATTATTAGCATCATTTTTGGAAATGAAGAAATGTTATTTTACTGGCAACTCTAATCCTTCACAGAGAAGTGAAGTCCTGGCCAACAAATTCATTGGCAGTAGTTCTGATACCTGGGCTTCATATTTTTTCCACTTCAAAGGCAGAGGTAAGATATTCTTTCGGAACAATCCCAATGAGGCTGTT